GAAAGGCAAAGAAAAGACGCTATTTAAGGGACAGTGTAGTGATAGGTCTGAACGAAACCAAAGACAAGACGTGGCCAGGCGATAACAAGGTCTAGAAAGTGGATTAAAAAGGGCAGTTGCATCTCATCCCGAACATGGTGCTTCTTTAATACGACCACCTCAATGCTTGTAACGTACAAAGAAAAATATGTCCAAAAACTACAATGCTAAAATCAGACTCAAATTCAATTAATTCAAACTTACCTATCTCATTAATAAATGGGTTTCGGATTGTTATATAAGTAAAACAAAGATAGTTAATTAAATTAAAACATATGGCATAACCTAACAAGAAACGTATTAAGAAATTCTATAACTTTACCTAAAGAGGATAGATACAAAGAGGATACATTCCCATTCGCGGAAAGACGTTTAGATAATTAATGTAATCAATTTTATCGTGATGACTCTGGAATTTTCCATTATATCAACATCTTTCGCAAAAATTAAAACTTGTCATTTCAACGGCAAAAGTAAAAGTGATATTTTTCTCAATACAAATGGGCGCGGTAAGCGGCAGTCAGCGAACAATAGCAACAAATCATAAGTAAGCATAACAAATTCCCGCTCAGTAAATTTCGTACAGCCGCTAACGGAACGCTGATTATTAGCGAAGCCGTTCAGCGGGTTTGCTGCGTGAAAAACGTAGTGCTGCTGTCCGATGACTTCCGGGTTAGTAATTTGTCTCAAAATTGCGGTGGAAACGAGATAAAAACCAAACCTAGTAGTTCATTTTGATGGTTTTTGCTAACGTATACGCATATGTTAGTTGTAAGTTATAACAAAGTTCATAGACGTGTTAATTATTCGCCCTCGTTTCGTAAATAAAATACTATTAGGTACCAGCAGGTATTTACCAGTTACCAAGCCAACAACCCTTCAATCTTCGTCTTTGTGTTTGATTAACCACAGGCTTAATTTTGAAACGCGTTGTTTTCAGTTGATATTATGTCGAAACATACTAAAAGCAGGAGCTGCGGTCGCAGCCCTTCTCCAGATTCTTTAGACTTCTTTGGAAGTTTTACAAAGAAAACAGAGAAAAAGACTAGAGAAAAAGGCGGTCGCTTTTTTCGCCGCAAGGTGCACCTGATAGATTAATAGTGTTATTTTGGTTAAAATGTTTAGCTCGGGGTCTTCATAATTGCAATACATTATGCCCTTGTCACGATTAATCATATGGGAAGAAACTGCTCAACTCACTTGAGGTTGGTGTGAAGAAAGAAACATTTACGATGTTATTTTGCTTCCTACATATCATCAAAAAAGTTTTTTTTAATAAAGCATCATGATAGGAACCCCAAGACGCGGGATTCGTCTCTTGAAACTGTTGCCTTTCAGAAAGTTTTGGAGAGATTCGTTGCCTCAGACGCAAGAAGTTCGTGTCAAGAAAAAGAGATCCAGAAGTGTTCAGGGTTACATCTTTTACACTACATCGGAGTGTTTTCTCCTTAAATACTTTCCTCCCCTTTACCTTAATGCTGAGGACTCATCAAAAAATTAATTAAGATTAGGCAGAAGGAGCGGTTGTAGCCCTTTACTGGGTATCTCACCAGAGGTATCATGTATTTTATTTCTACACAAGAACCTTTAATTTTCGAACCCTCTGACAGGTTACTTTCATTTAGCGGAATACCACATCAGATGGCAACATACCAGAATACCACAAACTCTTTCTCTGCCAGGACAAAGTATTCAAACTCTGACCTTAAATTATTGATAACATTGTTATTCTTAATGGCATGGTCGAAAATAGAATCCCTACACGATGAAATATTATGAAATAAAAAAGTAAAATTATTTGATTCTACAAGAAAGTGTGTTCGCCAAATAAAAGGAAAGTACCGCAGTCGAGATTCTACTTCATCTGCGCCGTTTACGAAATCGTTTCCTTTATTATAGTAAACTACAATAAATTTTTTCAAATACGAATCCGATCCACTTAATCAACCAAATGGTACATTGACTGCAATGTACTCAAAAAGTCCCCATTCCAATAGTAGAACATTCAGCGGTTTATCTCGACCTGCATTAACTCAACATCAAAGACTTGGCTTGAAAACTCCTCTTGATGTAAAAATCAGCGACGTTTCCAGCCACAAAGTGGTTTCAGCTGAATTAGTTCCCTAGAGAGACGTAATTTAGCTTTACAACATATTGAACAGTGATATAGTTTTCGGCAAACATTTCTATGCGCCCGTAAGGAATTTTTATATTATTGTTCCCTGAAATGGTATAGCCGTAGGAAAATTGATAAACGTTTAACGTCACCTGTACTCGCTCACATAGAATACAATTTTTGGACAATTAAGTGAACAAACTGAAAAAGAATTTTGTTTAAAAATAACATTAAATACTCGTTAAAGGAAAAACGAAGGTACATTTAAAAAACACGCTTTCAAACTCAATTTGTATCCCTTTGTTGAATTACTTTCTAACATGCAGTTTGCTAGCTTTAACTATTGTAATTGGTAGTGTCGTAAATCTCCATTCATTTTCCAGTTACTGCGAAATTGAAGTTCGTCCACATTGAAAGTACCTAGATTATAAACAAATAGAATTAAAAGTTGTGATGTGATTTTCAAACAGATAATTAAGCGAAGGCTTATACGTTTAACCTAGCGTTTAACTCATTTTAATGAGTTGTCATATAATTTTTAGTCAGCGTAACTAAGATTTAATAAAAACTTTTTGGACTACTTTATCGTTTAAACTGGAACATTTTATATACGAGACGCATTTCTACCCTTTTCATCAAGCGGTATAATTCAAGGAAACAAAAATGGAGCTTATTAAATCGGTTGCTAAATTAAAATCTCCAATAATTTTTTATCCCATTTACTCTTCATTTGAAATGTCACCAAATTTCTGGAGAAACAGTTTAGGCGCACAAATTCTGATATACGTTACCCGAATTTTATTTTTATAGCAGTTTATATAGCTGAATTATTTAAATCAATCTTTCTTAAACTTTTTTCCGCCTGCTGCTCGCTTATAGTAGCTTATACTTCATTATAGTCCCTCGCTTGGGTGTCAGATAGGATCTTTAGAAAACTTGGTATATCCTCAAAAATGTGTTCCTATTTAATTTAAAAGTGGGATTAAGTTTGAAAAAAGCACTAACGACATGGAAATAGCAAGTTGGGGATATAAATATGAAAAATGTTATTGTCTGCAGACGCCCGTACAAGCGTTTAGAGAATGATAAAAGTTGTCAGAGCTTATTTACAATGCCTTTAGAAAAATAATCACAATAGAGGATGCTGCCTTTGTATCAAAAATGGAAGAACAAAGTCAGGTTCATTTACCTATTCGTCTTGTTCTTTGTTATTAATTTAAAATTTAGAAGCATAAGTTCAACACAAATGTAGAGAAGCAGAATGGATAGAAATAAGCTTAGTTATTGTTTTATCCTATATCGATTTTACTAGATATACTTTGGAACTAAGAAAAAACCTTCACCGGAGACGCATCTATTTTGGAAAGACGTTCAATATCAAACAGACAATTTACGAGAGATGTAGGCAAAGTTTCAGTTCAGTTCGGAGAAAAGGATGAAGTCGTTTTGAAACCTTTCATAAGTTTGTATAATACAAATGACCCTCAGACACCACTTCTGAATAAGGCACCATAAAGTGACACGGCACATTCCTGTAATTATGAAAAACGTTAACTCCATAAACAATTTATTTTTCCTGCTATGGAAAATACTGCACAAGACATTTATAGACACCAACCCAGTGTGGTGTGATGAGAAGTAAAATCTGGAAGACAAAACTCATCGATAAGAAACTGGTGGGAGTAAACTCTCCATTAAAATTGTATGTAATGGTGGCGGAAACCAAAAGAATTGAATTAATCTGGGATCTGCCAAAAGAAGGATACCTGCATTTGGCCACACTGATAGAGACAATTAACCTTCCTGAAACTACAAAAAGGGTTTATTTTCCAAAGAATAAAGTAAAAAATTTGAAATTTATGGGGAAGGTTTTGTGAACTTTGTTCCGGATTATCATCTTACCCCATTTCGAGCATCCCGAGATAATGGACACCCAACAAGTTAGTTTTCCAATCTAAATGTTTAATCGATGTTCGCCAGCAAAACCAAAGTAGAGTTTATACAAAACGTGTTGGAAAATGAAGATAGCATTGGGTATGTAACTACCAAATTTCCATGGTTGCAAGTACATAAAAAATTAGAAAAAAAAAGTGAATGTGTAACGAGAAGATTCATAAGATATTACAAGCACAACAGAAGAAATAATTTCAATTTTACTCTCCACTACTTTCTTTTTGGAACGGATGAATGTGTACTTAAATGTTTAAAATGACTACAAATTGCAAATGCCCGGCGCAACCCGTTAATATCAATACTCAGCTTGTCAGAGAAAATCGATGAATTTTCTTCTTCCCGAATCCACGACAAGCGTGCCAGCAGTTAGGATTTGAAAAAGTAAGGGGTTGGTCTTCGACGACGTCATCAGAAGATACATAGAAGACAACATGCAAAGTAAATTCTGATGCCACAAGTTATTGAAGGTCAGCATCCTCTTCAATATTAATTAATAATAATTTAATTAATTTTATGTGTCATTAGAGCATCGCACCTTATTAAATTACTTATAAATTGTTTTTGATTGATGGTCACTGTAATTTTTGGCTAAAAACCCTTGCACCTTTGGTTCGGCGCGTTGAAGCAGAGTGTATTATTTAAATCCATGTTGGTCTCATTGCAAATTCCTAAAATATTGTTTCTGGTAGTTGACCGTTTTGTTGTGCAAATCTCGACATAGTGGAAGCAAGCTTAGGAGCCTGTCTCTTAATTTGGAATATACTTGAATTCATTAATACGTAAGTGCAGACATGTACTTAACCATAATGTTTTAGTTTTAGTCCAAGTTGTGAATTTCTCATTTTGGTCTTCATCAGTTTTAATTTCAAGTAGCGGAAATTACTAATCTAACCTTACATCCACGTCAACATTAGTCTTATTAAGACACCAGATATACCAGCCGGCGGCCATTTCGTTGTGGGCAGGGGGCAGGGTTAACTTTTAATTGGGTCAACCGGAATATGACTCTACAATTAAAATAATTTAGAAATTATTGAGTATTTCCTCTTCAAGGAGCATGATTCATTGCTAGTCACCTCTTCAAGAACATATTTTTCGGATTAATTTAATTGTATTGTATTATGAATCTCACCAGTATTTCGATCCTTGATCGAACTTTGTTTTGCTGTCATTCTAATTGGACATTTTAGTCTCCTTCAGAGTATTAATCTGCATGTATGTTATGTCAGTGGTGTATTGGTAAATTACGGTAAAGGTATACGCAAGCATACGTTTCATGGAGGGGGGGTGTAAAGGGTTTAAAAAATTTTCATTTTAGTAAATTTTTACAAAACAGGTTACTTTCATAACATTTCCCAAAGGAATTCGCGTGTAAACGTAGAAGGAATAATTTTTTTATCTAGTGTCATCTGCTGATCGATGTGGTAAGGACCACAAAGGTGTTATACTGACGACTGGAGTGCTAGAAACTGCCCGAGACCTCTTACAGTTTCGATAGGATTTTCAAAGGTGGATGCCCGCCAGAAGTTACCGACGAAGAATAAAACGCCATATTAGTCCAAGATTTTCAGCATTATACGTATTATACCACCGTATATTTGCGTACTTAGCAAATTGTCATTTCCGTATACGTAAAAGAAAATTGTCTTTTAAACGTATACGACGTATACCCGCGTATACCCTCCAATACAGCACTGTGTTATGTTCCGATTGTGGACTTTATATGTACAATTAGCTGTTCTGTTCTTGGCAAAACATTGGAATCAATTTCGTGAGAATAAAGAGGGTAGATTTCATTGCAAATTGTTGCTCATATTAGCAAATCGAATATTTTATCGATTCAAAGAATTCGCAGGAAAATTTTCTGATAATGGAACATCTTTTAACTCTGCTGAATTTTACAGATTGACTCAGAGGTATGATATTATTCTTCTAATCCCTTCGCCTCACAATGTCCAGAGAAGCAATATTCTGGTAGAACGCCCCATTTAGGCTCGTAAAAGATTGTGGTGGTAGCCCGCGGCAAGCGCGCGAAAAGCGAGAACGAGAGCCGCTCGAGAGTGCGCGAGAACCAGTCCCACCACTTACACGCGCACGCCCACGCTGCCCTTTATAAGGCGCAGCGCGAAGGAAGATTCTCATTCTACCCTGGCTCACCATAGTAAGGGAGAATCACGAAGACCCCGGCTTTCCATAGTAGGGGCAAGAAAGCCCTCGGCTACCCATAGTAGAGGCAACGAAGTCCTCGGCTACCCATAGTAGAGGCAACGAAGTCCTCGGCTACCCATAGTAGAGGCAACGAAGTCCCCGGCTGACTTATAGTAGGGGCACACTAATAGAATTACAGACGACACCCATGCCGCCAACGACGCCTAAACGTTTGAGGAAGGCACGCCGCAACGCCCGAAGAAAAGCACGGCAGCTATCTCCAGTACCACGACTTGTAAGCCCACTACCGCCGTCGCCGGTGAAACCGCACGCAACCAGCACCGCCACCACACCGCCTGCATGGAGATTACTGCTCATCACCGTTTCCATCCCGTACGCTCGAGTCGCCCTAAGTTCGCTGTCAACAAACGACCCACGACGAGCAGTTAAACGCCACCGACACATTTTGTAAATTGTACATTGTATAGATATAGTTTGTATATATGTTATGGTAAAGAACACGCAATAAACAACCCCAAAACCACCAAAAACTGGTGACCACCGACGCAAGTAATCAACAATGGCCAACGCAGAAGCCTTAGACGCCCCGGACCGCCCAGAGGTATACCGGGTACAGATGAAACTCCCACCCTTTTGGCCCACCGACCCAGAGATGTGGTTCGCCCAGGTGGAGAATCATTTCACAATAAGCGGAATCACCCAGGACGAGACAAAATATGGCTACGTCGCAAGTTCCCTGGAAGCGAAGTACGCCTGCGAGATACGCGACATCCTCACCCAACCACCCGCCACCGGAAAATACGAAAAACTGAAGTCCGAACTCATCAAAAGACTCAGCGCCACCCGAGACCAAAAAATGCGTCAGCTGCTAGAACGAGAGGACCTAGGGGACCGAAAACCTTCGCAATTCCTCCGGCATCTGCAAAGCCTCGCAGGAGCATCAGTACCCGACGATCTCCTGAAGTCAATCTGGACCAGTCGCCTCCCGTCGAATATACAGGCAATCCTGGCCTCGCAGCAGAAAGCTACCCTCAGCGAAGCAGCCGAACTCGCAGACGCCATTAACGCAACCAATCCACACGCAGTCCACGCCGTCCACCAAGACGATGCACTCCATGAAGCAGTTAAATCACTCACCGCCGAAATCGCCGAGCTCAAGGCACAAACACGAGGAAGGAGCAACTTTCGGAGAGAGCGGAACGATCGCCCACGCAGCCGCAGCCGAACTCCGAAAACCGAATTCGACACCTGTTGGTACCATTTCCGGTACGGCAAGGACGCAAAGAAGTGCCGACCACCCTGCAAGCAGAGCCCACAGGGAAACGACCAAGCCAGTCGCTAGAGGCGGTACGCGACTCCCACACAGGCCACCGCCGTTTGTACATAACCGACCAAAATTCAAAAACAGACTTTCTGATCGACACCGGCGCAGAAGTATGCATTTTTCCCGTACGCCTAACAAAAGAAAAACGCCAGCCCACCGATTATAGGCTCTACGCTGCGAACGGAACGACCATCAGCACCTACGGTACAACCAACCTCAACCTCAATCTGAAGCTGCGACGGAATTTCCCGTGGAGATTCATCGTAGCCGACACAGCCAAGCCCATCATAGGAGCCGATTTCCTATCACACTATGGACTTCTGGTCGACGTCAAAAATCAGAAGCTCATCGACAGCCAAACGAGTTTGACCCGCGAAGGTCGGAAGGCAGGCAGTGACGAAAACTACAACATCTGCACCACCTCCGGCACGAGCCCGTACCACGATCTGCTGAGAAAATTCCCAAACCTCACGAAACCGGCAGGAATTCTCAGCGGAAACAAGCATAGCACCGAGCATCACATCCGAACGACGGATGGACCCCCAGTCGCACACAAGCCACGCAGGTTAGCAGCCGACAAACTCGAAGCAGCCCGGAAAGAGTTCCAGATAATGCTGCAGCTAGGGATAGCCAGACCCTCATCCAGCCCATGGTCAGCACCGTTACACCTAGTACCGAAGAAATCCACCGAGTGGAGACCGTGTGGAGACTACAGAGCCCTAAACGCTAGGACGATCCCCGACCGATACCCAGTTCCACACATCGAGGATTTTGCGCAGGAGCTGGCCGGAAAACACATTTTTTCCACAATCGATTTAGTAAAGGCCTACCATCAAATTCCGGTCACGAAAGACGATATTCCAAAGACGGCAATTACCACACCCTTTGGATTGTTTGAATTTCCGTACATGACCTTCGGCCTACGAAATGCTGCCCAGACGTTCCAGAGATTCATGGACGACATCCTAAGAGACCTGAACTTCTGTTACGCGTATATAGACGATATCCTCGTAGCATCCGAAAACCAGGAGCAGCACACCGAACACCTAAGGCAACTTTTTCAAAAACTAAGCGACAACGGAATCGTAATAAATCCCGAGAAATGCCACTTCGGAAAACAAGAAATACAGTTTCTCGGATACCAAGTTTCAAGCCAAGGCACGCGACCGCTGGCAGGGAAGGTACAAGCGATCATCGACTTTCCACGACCCGAAACCGCAAAGAAATTGAGGCAGGTGTTAGGAATGATCAATTATTACAGGCGCTTCATCCAAGGAGCCGCAGACACCCAAGCACCGCTTCACGCACTGCTGAAAGGGAAGCTAAAAGGTAACCAACCGTTACATTGGACCCCGGAAGCAATACAAGCCTTCGAAAGCTGCAAGCAACAGATCGCTCAGGCAACAATGGTGCATCATCCCATACCGAACGCACCCTTGGCCGTAACAACCGACGCATCGGATTTCGCCATCGGAGGGGTGATCCAGCAGCTCAACAAAGAACAATGGGAACCGCTCGCCTTTTTCTCTAAGAAATTGTCACCCGCCGAATGTAAATATGGAGCATACGACCGCGAATTGCTCGCCATCTACCAGACAATCAAACACCACAAGCATATGCTAGAAGGACGATTGTTTACGATATACACCGACCACAAGCCGATAACCCACGCGTTCCAGCAAAAACCTGAGAAATGTTCACCGAGACAGTTCCGGTACCTGGACTACATCGGCCAATTTTCAACCGACATCAAACATATCGCAGGGAAGGAAAACGTCATCGCAGACAACCTATCCCGCATCGACCAAATCTCGAAAGGAGTTGATTTCGACGCCCTAGGGACAGACCAAGAAACGGACCTAGAGTTAAGAGCAACGCTTCAATCAAACACGAGCCTACAACTCCAAAAAATTCAGTTACATCACGCCAAGAAGCCAATCTACTGCGACATTTCCCAGGGATTCATCAGACCATTCGTCACGACACCCTTTCGAAAAGAAGCATTCACCAGCCTACACCAGCTGTCACATCCTGGAATCAAAGCAACGACCAAGATCCTGACAGACAAATTTGTATGGCCCGGAATCAAGAAAGATTGCGCTCAATGGACCAAGCAATGCGACCACTGCCAACGGAACAAAGTCACGAGACACACCAGAACAGCAGTAACACCATTCCCAGTCACGAGACACCGATTCGAGCACGTCCACATCGACCTCGTAGGACCTCTGCCAGAAAGCCAAGGATTCAAGTATATCCTCACTTGCATCGACCGATACACGCGATGGACCGAAGCTATTCCCATCTCCAACATCGAATCAGAAACGGTAGCGCAAGAATTCATAAACCACTGGATCGCACGATTTGGAGTACCTCTCCAAGTAACGACCGACCAGGGACGCCAATTCGAAGCCGCCCTTTTCCACAGTTTAGCAAAACTAATTGGTTTCAAGCGGAT